GCCTCCAGATTCAGCTGCTGTTGAAACTGATCAGTTTCAGCAGCAGCTGAATCTGGACGCCAGTTCCGACTTACATACAGATTCAACTTAAGAACAAACCTACAGTCCCTATCTTGTACGTAACCCAGGGACTGCCTGTACCTGCTGAGTCTGCACTCCCCACCTCCTGCCTACGCTGCGCTCCTGGCCTCTGACCCTGCTGTCCCAGATTCAGCTGCTGTTGAAACTGATCAGTTTCAGCAGCAGCTGAATCTGGACGCCAGTTCCGACTTACATACAGATTCAACTTAAGAACAAACCTACAGTCCCTATCTTGTACGTAACCCAGGGACTGCCTGTACCTGCTGAGTCTGCACTCCCCACCTCCTGCCTACGCTGCGCTCCTGGCCTCTGACCCTGCTGTCATCAGCTAGGTCAGTGCTTCTAACCCTGGCCACCCCCACTCTCAGTGGGATTATCTGGTCCAGCAATACCAGACCAGAGAGTAATTGATTTTAGAGTTTCAACCTGAATAAAGAAAGCAGCTAGAGAAAACATCTAACTTTTGAGTTCAGTTTCATAACTATGGAATAATAGGAAGCTTAAGTAATTAAGAGACCATTTCATTTTCAAGAAGCTTAGAAGAACAGGAACTAATCTAGTCCCGTCCACATGGATATATTTGAAAATTTTCCCAGAAAGACCTGAAATAATCAGCAGGGCTCAACAAATGGCGAGTAGATTACAACCCGGAAGAGCTGGCACAGAACGATCTGCGCATGCGCAGAACCACACGGCTGGTGAGCGGGGCTCTCCACCAGTTGGCGAGCCCTGATAATCAGTATAACTCACTGACTAAAATTAATCTGTTTAATTCAACATTTAGTTGTAAATGCAAAACATGCAGTTTTACAATCTAAAACATTTAAGGTTGTTCTGTTTAATAAAAATATATTTTATATGTTATTCTGTTTGTTTCAACAAATTCTAATTGTCATCCTAAATAGCTTAACACAAATGAGAAAAAAGTTAAATTATCTACTGAAGCAACATAACATTCATTTTTAGCATAATAAAAATATACTAGACTGAACATATTAACCTACGTACATTTTTAAATGAATGTATACAGTTATATAGTTTACCCCCCCAGCAGTAAATTGATATACCAAATCTAGTGTAAAGATGATTTAGCTGTAAATCAGCATGTTTTAATGGTTATATGAACCAATAGAATGAACTTCTCTTTAGAAAATAACTGAAGGTACAAATGGGAAAGTTGATTGAAGTCACTGATTTAAAAGGACGCTTACCAGTTAGTTATTTAAATCACCTTGATTTAAATCAATCCATTGACTGAAACCATCAAGGGATATCTGGTTACCGTAACAGACTCAAACTTTTAAACTCCATATTTTAATACCTTATATGTTACTGAGTAATAAATGTTAATGTTCAACTTGACAAATGTCACAAAATTTAAAGTGTGATACCTTGGCAAAGGCGTAAATTCACTGATGATGCCTTCTGTTCCCAGCGTGATGCCCTGAACCACGAAGGTACTCCCCATTCCTTTCCAAAGAGCTCTTGGACCCTGTCGTTTAACATTTCCAGTTGAAACATGAAAATTAGTGATAACATATTTCACACTTGTAATAAAACTATAGAAGCACATGAGAAAAAGAACCAAAGTGAACACTGGAGTTGATTGTTCCCAAATTAATGGTATTCAGATCCTGATCTGAACAATGATCATATCAAGGCGTGTGATGGGAGAGGACAGGCTAAGGAGGCAACTGCTCTGTGGACTGGTGATTCAGAAGGGCCTGGGGTGGGGCTCTGGGACCTTTAAAATTATCGCTAGAGCCCTGGGTGGCATGCTCCAGGCAGTGCTGAAGGCCTGGTGGGAGACGAGGGGAGGCTAGCTCCCACCTCCTCAATTCTGTCCCCCCCTCATGAAACACAATATTTTTCAGATTTGTAACACTTCCCATCAGCTTTATAAACATTAATTCATTAAACTTCTCATCATTTTCATATGCATTAACTTCCTATTTCAGTTGGGCAAAAATTCTCATTTTTCTTAGTCTTGGACTTTAGACACAAAACTACCCTTTTATTGTAAAAACATGGATAAATATGTTGAAATTTATAATGTAGTTCAGTGGAATTGGGAAATCATAGCATGGTAGTCTTCAAAAGTTTAAAAATTCACTATATAACAAAATATTCTTTTTATCCACATAACTATCTAATTATTTTCAGAACCCTGATGAATTCTTGGCCTCGACAGCATGTTTTAATTTTTTTATGTTATATATGCAGAAGTGTTTATGTATGTGTGAAAGAGAGGGCACGTCAACACAGCAGGGCTAAAGTCGAAATAAGATATGCAAATTGAGCTATGTCAATTTCGTAGCTTAAGTCAAAATAGCTTATTTCAGCTTTTGGTGCGGTCTATGCAGCAGGAAGTCCAAGAAAGAGCACTCTTCCTCGAACTTCACCTCGTCCTCATAAAATGAGGGATACAGGAATCAGAGTAGGTCCTCCACTAACTCGACATTATGTTGAAATAACTGATTGTGTGTAGACACGGACTATGTTATTTCAGAATAACATCAGTTATTCGGAAATAATGCTGCTGTGTAGACATAGCCAGAGACAGAGAGAGTGACTATATGTATGTACGTATAGACAGACACACAAAAACTTTTTTCTAGGAAATAGTAACCACAGTGCAATAAAGGACAATAGAAAGTAAAATTGTTTCTTAAACTGTTTAGTCATTAATTAAAATAAAACTTAGAAATAGGGATATAAAAGTGTAGACGACTACATGATTAACCAATAAGCCAGGGCTTATAGATTAATCCTGTCAACTAGACTCATTCCCCCACACGTCCCCCTCAGCTATCTCTGTATCAGAGATACCAATGAGGGGGAAAGGAGGGGGGAAGAGGGAGGCCTGGCCCGTGTCTGTGGAAGGTTGGGGGCTGCTGTCACAGAGCAGCCTCTGCCTGTGGGGAGCTCAGTCCCCCTGCGAACAGGAGCTGCTGCTGCTCTGTGCCGCTGCCTCTGTATCAGAGGCAGCAGCGCAGGGTAGCAGGCAGGAGCCAGCCTGCATGGGAAGCTGTTTTTTAAACCTGCTCCCCTTGTGGACCACCTTCTACCTGCCACCTCACACTGCTGCCTCTAATAGAAATCCAGCAGTGTGGGGTGGCAGACGGCTCCCCAGGAGTGGGACCGGGAATGTACTGGCTGCTGGCCCCGCCTCCGGGGACTATCGAACAGTCATGTAACCGCTGAAATTAGATGCAGTTACACAACTATTTAATTACATGGTAACATTCTTAGTTAGAAAAACAATTTTATAATGTTCAGCTAGCTTCTTCATATATTTAGAGATGAAGATGATATCTGTTTCAGTAAATACATATGCCACTACTGTATCTACATCATTTTGTTTTATGTTTAGTTACGGCTGGCACAAAATACTGACCTGGGATTTATTGATGCTGTACATAGTATTGACAATAGTAAATGGAGTGAGATGATAGTTCCGGGCGTGATAATTAACCTGTTAAAATAAAATGTTAGAACACAACTGTTATTTTTAGAACTTTTCAGCAATAAATATTCAATGTTCCAATTTAGATCTCAAGATCATCATTTTTTTGAGATGCCTTGAACATTCTTTGTCATTCAAACGTCAACTGATACTTATTTAAATCTTCACTACCACTTCAAAGGACATAGATCAAAATTAATTTGAGAATTCAGGTGTTAAAAAAAAAAAAACTTTGAAGAAAATGTTAACGAAAGTTACTTTAAAAAAAAAGTCTAATGGAAAGTTATTTTTAAACAAACATCAACATAATCTGCTGGTACATGAGAACCTGACAGTAATTTCACTAGTAAACACATAAAATAAAATAAAGAAAAATATCTTAATTATCCAAACTAAAAAAAAAAACAGCATGAAAAGTTACATTAACATTTTAATTGAAGTGATTCAAGTAACATAAGGAATTTTGGTTTTTAAAATTTTTACTTGACAATGTCTAGTTGGAAGTCTTAAGCTTCCTTATAACTCCCCAATCAATCACATGTACAAAGTTTCAAAATAGATTAAGTTCAATTGCAGAGTTTAAAAAGGATGTACCTGGCACTGGCGACGAAGAACAATGCAAGGATGTGCCAATACATTTTCTGTAAATAGACTTTAAAAAGAGGAATCTATTTAAAAGCACTGAAAAGAAATTGCAACTTATTCATAACTGATATTTGTCTTTAGCAGATAATTAATATTAGGTTAACAATATTTGGATAATACACAAAACAACATCTCAATGTTACTCCACAACCTGCCAGGAGGTATTTTTCGATAAAGAATCGCATGCTTCTCATCAGCCCAAAAGGGCAAGCGCTCAGAAACTGACCATCCACTCCCTCATACCACCTCTGTACAAAAGTTAACACACATCTTCTCCCTATGAAAATGAAGAAATGAGCAGAGGCACAAAGTCCTCCAAGACCGCAGAACTGGTCAGTGGCAGAACCAGAATTAAAAGCTCCCAACTCCCAGTGTTATGGCCATTCCTCTTCACCACTATAACTCTCAAGGAAAGACTTTCTTCTATAAAACTATTGGCTCCCTACAGTATATTAACAGAGGTTGATATGTATGAAGGGGTTCAAAAGTTGATCCCCAAACCTCATGATTCACCAGCTATCTTAAAAAAACCAACTATTGTGTTGTCACAGACTCTGTTCTCTGTTTTATAGAGAATCAGTCTCTATAAAAAGGTATAACATTTTCTCAAAAAAAAAAAACCCAACCAAAACCAAACAACCCTTCCCCCACCAAAACAAAACAAAAACCAAAACCACCTTTGCCACCACAATGAACTGCTCTAGCATGTTCTGACATTCAGGGCTTGGTAAGATCTGCACTGGCTTAGAGACGATGAATACTACCTGAAAATACTAATTTGAGTGACTAATGCACAAGCACTCATCACAGAAGTTATTCAGAGCACTCAGAAGTCTCTTCATATTTAACAGCAGATTCTCAAGTGATAAATTTTCTGTTTCCTCCTACTCAGGAGTCATCTCCTCTCGATTCCTTATTCTGATTACACCACAATAATCAGATAATCACAATAAAATATTAGCATTTGAAGGTGTTTCTCCAAAATATATGTGAATGTGAAATTACATCTTCAACTAATCAGTCACCAGGCATATACAGGCAGTCCCCGTGGGTTTGTTCTTAAGTTGAATTTGTATGTAAGTCGGAACTCCAGATTCAGCCGCTGTTGAAACTGACCAGCAGTGGCTGAATCGGACACGCCTGGGGCAGAGCAGCTGGAGTGCTGCTGGGTTGGTCTGGTAGCGCCGACCTTTGGCGCGGCGGGACCAACCTGGCAGCACCCCAGCTGCTCTACCCCAGGTGTCCTGATTCAGCTGCTGCTGAAACTGACCAGCAGCGGCTGAATTAAGATTGCCTTGGGCAGAGCCACTGGGGGGGCGGCCGGGT